GGACCTGGACTATCTGCTAAGCTTGAACCTCTTTCCCATCGTCGTAAAGTTGCATCTCTTTCTCTTATCTACAGATAAGAGAAAGAGATGCAACAGATATCTACAAATACTATCATGGTCACTGCTCAAAGGAGTTATCATCTCTAGTTCCATCAACTAAAATTCATTCTCGTTTTACTCGTCATTCAGCTAAGTCTCATTCGTTTACTGTATCTGTCCCAGCATGCTCTAAAAACTTTTATTCATCTAGTTTTTTTCCCCGCACTTCAATCCTTTGGAACTCTCTCCCATCTTCATATTTTCCTGACTCCTACAACCTTCAACTTTTCAAGTCTTCTGTCAACCGTTTCCTTGCTCTATAACTCTGTTCTTTTTTTTCCTAGTAACTTCCAACTTAATAGTGGTTGCTTGCAGCCTTGTTGGGAGTGAATGCAAATAAAAAAAAATATATATATATATATATATATATATATAATATATATATATATATATATATATATATATATATATATATATATATATATATATATATATATATATATATATTATGTATATATTACATATCTATTAAATATGTATATTTTATACATATATTATATATATGTATACAAATATATATATACATATATATATATATATATAATATATATATATATATATATATATATATATATAAATATATATATATATATATATATATATATATATATAATATATATATATATACATATATAAATATATATAATATATATAATATTATATATATATATATATATATATATATATATATATATATATATATATATATATATAATATATATATATATATATATATATATTATGTATATATTACATATCTATTAAATATGTATGTTTATACATATATATTATATATGTATATAAATATATACACACACATATATATATAAATCTAAAAAAATATATGTATATATATATATATATACATATATATGTATATATATATAACATATATATGTATATTGTATATGTATATATTACATATATATTATATATGTATATATATACATATATATATAAATATATACACACATATACATATATGTGTGTGTTTGTGTATATGTATGTATATATATAATATATATATATATATATATATATATTATATATATATATATACATATATATATATATGTATATATTACATATATATTATATATGTATATATATACATATATATATAAATATATACACACATATACATATATGTGTGTGTTTGTGTATATGTATGTATATATATATATATATATATATATATATATATATATATATATATATATATATATATATATATATATATATATATATATATGTATATATATATATATATATATACATATATATATATATATATATATATATATATATATATATATATATATATATATATATATATATATATATATATATATATATATATATATATATGTATATTAGGGTGGTGCTTAAAACAACTTTTATGAGAAAAAACCTAGCTGGTACCCCCCTAACTGTGTTTTCACCTCTTACAATACAAAAAACACTAGGTATAAAATTTTTTTGAACAAAAAATATTTTTAGGGGTAGCTCAAGGCCCTCAAAAATTTGACGGGTCCCTAATATTTTGAAAAAAAAACTTTTTCTAAAGTATGTCAACCTGGTACTCAAAATAAGCAAAATTTAAAAATATAAAAAATTTAAAAATGAAAATAATTTTTTATAAAAATAATTTTTTCAGGTATAAATGCATAAAAACTATTGTTTTTAAGCTGAAAATGAAAAAAGTCAATATTTTAAGGTTTTTTGAGAATAATTTTTTTAGGCATGTTTTTTATGTAAAATGATTATTATTTTTGAAGTTTTTTTATAATATCGCTTCTTTTGAGTACCAGGTTGACATACTTTAGAAAAAGTTTTTTTTTCAAAATATTAGGGACCCGTCAAATTTTTGAGGGCCTTGAGCTACCCCTAAAAATATTTTTTGTTCAAAAAAATTTTAAACCTAGTGTTTTTGTATTAGATAAAACACATTTAGGGGGGTACCAGCAGGTTTTTCTCAAAAAAGTTGTTTTAAGCACCACCCTAATGTATATATTACATATATATTATATATGTATATCTAAACATATATATATAAATATATACACACATATACATATATGTGTGTGTTTGTGTATATGTATGTATATATATATATATATATATATATATATATATATATATATATATATATATATATATATATATATATTATATATAATATATATATATATATATATATATATATATATATATATATATATATATATATATATATATATATATATATATATATATATATATATATATATATACATGTATAAATCTAAAATAAAAAAGCTTTTACTTAGGATATTTTTTTAAAAACTTGGAATATTGAAAATTTTTATGGAATATTGAAAAGTATCATTCAAGTATATTTGTAATTATATTTTTTGTTTTATAAAAAATATTAAATAGTTTATATGTTACAACAAAATAATTACACTGTCATTGTTTTTGTTACAATTTTGGTTCACAATTAATTTGATAGAATTTTTTTATATCTTATTGCACCGAATTCTTTGTTAGTAGTTAGAGTATTCTTCATAATAAGTTAAAATCACCATATAGTTTACGTTATAAAATAGAAAAAACGTTTTTTTATCTACTTATAAATATTTAATAGGCTGAGGGGGTGTGGAAAAACAATAATATCTAAAGTTCTTACGGTCTTATCACAGAGCACTGAGGAACAGTACTTAACCAGGTAGTTCAAACCTCATTCTTTACCAATAAATTAGTAAATAATGAGGCCTGAACTTTCTTGTTAAATTTTATACAAATTATCTTAAATTTGATTCAAATGTAGATTTTTTACGTAATGGTAGAAAGGACTTTAACCCTATTACACTAAACAGTTTAAAGTCATCAATTAAATGTGTTTGGAGAACTAAAATCTTTATTATTACTCATTTTAATTAGGTGTTTTGTATGTCTTTTACAGCGATAATCGGTTTGTTTACTCGAAATTTTTTGTTCTGTATATTCTTGTGAATATATTTTGCATAACAAATGTTGAGTTTCGAAAACCGTGTATTGTAAGGGATTTGGGGCAATGTCTTAAATTGGAATAATGACTATGGAATATATTTCTGTGAAAATAATCTTTCTACAGAACACATAGTGTCCTCTTTATTAAAGTTTTATCAGAATAGGAACAGGTTACTAGAGGCGTTCTGCATGGCTCAGTTCTTCTTCCATCACCATTTACAATCTATATTAATGATCTCCCAGAACACATAGACAGTAAGAACATTTGCAAAATGTATGCAAATGACACAAAAATCATCAGTATAGTTAACACTTCAAAAAGCAAATTTTGTTAGCAAGCTTATATTGATATCATTTTTAATTGGTTTCAAATATGGCTCATGCAGCTTAACATCAAAAAATCTACACTTATCCACATCAATCAGACCAAATCTGTTCTTTACAACTATATAATTTATAAAAATAAATCAAAAGGATTAAAAAAACAATCCAGTTACAATTGTAAACGCTGGAAAAAGACCTGAATAATTAATTTTCTGATAAACCGAAGATCAAGAGTCAAGCATTCAGCGCTGCTAATACAAAAAAAATTTAAGATGTTTTAAAACATATCTTTGTTTGTAAAATATGGAAAAATCTTTACACAACTTATATCCGTCCTTATCTAAAATAAGCTATCACCACTTGATGTCTTCATCTTAATAAAGATATTATTGCAATTAAACAAACTCAACATCGCCTCATAAAAATTCCGCATGAGTTAATACACTTTGACTATAACATAAGATCCTCATAACTATTGTCATCGCAAGCGCTTTCGTTGCGAAATTTATAGTATTTTTGAGCCTTAAAATTTTCTAAAGTTAACTTTTTTTGTCTCGCTTATCTTTTTAATATTACTTTTTATTTTGAACATTATTTGAAAAGTAAAATATTGACATTTTCGTGGTAAAATTGATATACCGAGCACAAATAACATAGAAACGAAAATTTGAACTAGTTTTAGTGTAAAGAGGATTTCTGAGATTACATTTATAAAAAAATTTTACCCCAATATAAAAGTTGATTTTTAGTGTTTTTACTCACCCTTGGCCCACAACGCATTTTGCAATACGACTTAAACCTTTAACAGTCAATCGGGTTTATCTGAAAAATAATTTACGGGTTTTTATGCTCATTCTCTAAGTTTATGCCGTTGTTTACAACAACCCTAATCAATATGCAGACGTGTAATTTGGAGGCGAACATTGTATGCTTATATTTTCAGTAAAGCGTTGAAGTTCTTGCTAAAATATTTTTATATAAATTTGTGATGAAAAAAGAGTCGCAAATGCTATATTTTTTTCGACAATGTTGGAATTTTTTTCGATAATGTTGGAATTTTTTTCGACAATGTTGGAATTTTTTTCGACAATGTTGGAAAAGATTCTTGCTATTTGATCAATATTTTCGATTAAAATCTAATTTTTTAAATTAGATTTTAAAACTTAATTTTAAATTCTTAAAGTTAAACTTAAAATTTGGATTATTCTTTGTCACTACCTCCTAATCTTATGCTTAACTTTGTCACTACCTGCTAATCTTATATGGGAACGCAATTTTTGTTGTTTTACAAAGGCTTAAACTGCGCGCAAGACTTAATTCTAAAAAATAACATGTTATTATTACGATTTGATATACTTTTGAATTTTTGTACAATTTTAACTTTCTCTCTGACAAATATTAGGCATAGTGGTAAAAAGAATATTGTGTACTATCTAATTTAGTATCTAAAGTCGGTTCAATACGCTGATGTGAGAAGGACAACTCTCTATGTTATGAAAGTTTTAAAGATTGTTTTTGTTTTTATACCCTAAAACTGTTTCAATTTCGTTTCCCAGCTTTACTTGACAAAAAACAAAAAAACAAAGTTCAAATTAGTTTCAACTATATTTTATATATATATATTTTTTTTTTTTTGTAATATGGTTTTAAAAGAAACTTTGCAAAGTAACCATATTACGTCTATTAGAAATATTACAGACGTGAGACGTCAATAGAATGTCGTAGGGAGTTCTAATGGACGTATAGAAATACTAAATTAGTCTTCGTATTACCGTTCGGGTTACTCAATAAACGATTTTGATTGCTGACAGTAACATTAGTTTCTTAAAATGAGTTATTTTGGCTATGGGTACACTTCCTAAAATATAACTATATCAAATGTGAATGAACTATACAGTTTAAAAAAATGCTGTTTAAGAAACTAAATTTGACCGTTCAAGACATCAGTTTCTTCATCCCCATTGCTAGCTTTTTTTGATGATAAATTATATTGGTTAGATTTGCTTTTATGACGACAAGTTTTTATATGTTTTAGCAACTTGAAAAATGCTTTTTGAAATATTAGAGTAACGATAAAAACTATAAAGAGTTCGACAGCAAGCGCGATAAGTAAAACTGTCGTTGGAACCATCTTTGGAAGAAGGCCATCTAAAAAAAAATGAAAGAAATCTATTTAAAAGATAATAAAAGTTTAAAACTAAAAAAAAAATATGTTTACTGCATTATATAAATTCAGATCCGTTGTAAATATTTTTGTCAAGTGCTAGGATTTTGTCATGTGTTAAGATAACAGTTATGTCAACAAGCAAGCGTTAGTGTTAGTATATGTAAGTTTTTTTTGTTGTAAATGTAAGAATTTAATGAATATTAACAGCACTTTTATAAAACAAATATTACAAAATGTAATTTGATTTTTATTTGTATAATTTTATAAATCCAAAAAATAACCTAATTGTAATTAAGTAAAAATAATACTTGACAAAAATAATGTTTTTGTCACAAAATTAAAATTCTTTTCACGATTACTTTTTTTTTAATTATTATTATTTATTTTTTTTAGTTTAACTTTTTTTTAAAAAACATTTACAGATATATTTAGTAAAGGATTTTAAGAAACCATCATTGCGCGTTAATAAACTCCAAAATAATAAAACCTCCTTGACTTTATAATATTACGTTTTTTGGTAATTAAGATTTATTTAATTTTAGTCGCAATTTTGAAAATTCAAATGAAAATCTTTATTTGTTTCCTAATCTTTTGCCTGAATGATTTTAAAACATACTTATGTATGTGAGAATGTGTGGGTGAGAGAGTGTGTATGCGTGTAGTTGTTTGCGTATGTGGATGATAAGATCCCACTGAATTGATATTACGCAGTTCTTCAAATAATTTTGTCCAGAGTTTTGTCCAGAGTTTGGCAAGACAGAATTTACGATATTTTTTTTTTTGTAGTTTATACATTTTAACTATTTCATTAGATGAAATAAATAAAATGTGTAAACTTGACTTACTAAATAGTAGATTTAGTAAGTCAAGTAGATTTACGTTGCTGGTCCAGACTCTGTTATAAATGTTTAATGTAATTTGGTTAAAAAAACAATAATTGGAACTTTGTCCGTTTTGTACCTGACAGAATTAACAAACTCAGGCTTTTATTAAATAATGTGGATTTATCATCTATTATAATGGTCTTTGGTTCTTTAATTTCAGTTAAGTATTTAGAGATTATGATGCTGTTTATACTTTTTATATTGCCTCCAATTGCTTTTCTTTTCTCTCCAATTGCTTTTTACTTATGATTTATTAGAGTCTTTTACAATTCAATCGTCTGTAAATATAGATATGTATGTATACATATCTATATTAATAAACATGTATTTAAACAGACTATGGCTTAATCTATCTTTTTATATACTTAGTTTATCATTTATAATAAGAGATAATAAAAATTTTGCTGACAAAAGCTGGAAATAAGTACTTTTGCTGGAAAAAAAGTGCTTTATTTTTTTCTCCAACTTTTGGTTCTCCAACTTTAGATTTTTGACAACTTTGAGATTATATTTGACAACTTTGAGATTTTTTTTGACAGCTTTGAGATTATTTTTAACAACTTTCACGGTTGTTTAGATGTAGAAAGTTATTATACGCATGCGCTGTGTCAAATATTATATCTTTAAAGATGGTGGCGGCCTTTAGATACAAAAAATTTTTCTGAGTAGCAACAACATTTTTAAAGTTTTACTAAGTAGTTATTATTTGCATATTTTTGATAGAATGAAATAATAATAAAGATAATTGAATTGTTGATTCAAAAATGATAAAAACAATATAAAGATATTTTAGTATATAAAAAACGGTGATTCTCTGCTACATTTATCTGACTGTTAAAAGCGTGATTTGTTTACATTTTCAAAACTCTTTTTCGAGCGATACAATTTAATAATTTTCACTTTTTTATTTCGAATAGTCTTATCTTGATTTGAAATTGTTTTCAGATCTGAGTATTCAATTTTTTTCTGAACAAAAATAGAGTTCACCCAACACTACTTTTGTCCTAAGTTATAGATGTATGATACATTCATATTAATGTATATAGCTAAAAAAACATATATATATAATTATATGTGAATGATTATAATGCAAAAAAATAGGCTAAAAAGTCCATAAGTTACTTATAAACTATGTAACTTAAAGTATTTATACATAAGTTGTATATAAATTTACTGTAACATATAAACTATATATAATAGTTTTTATAATACATCATAATCATTTAATATATTTTATATACAATTTGTATCCAACAAATTTGTGTGCATATTTTGAAATAGTACTGATGAAACACAAATAAATTAGATATTAAAAAAGCCTCACAATGAGTGAAGTAATACAGCATGAAACTCCAAAATCATGGTTGAGATTCTCTGAAAAAACATGTTACAAATCTATTTTTATTTAAAACCAAGGACTATCTTATTGTCAAATAGCCAATAAGTTAAATATTAAATATTCAGTTGTTGCACATATTTGAAAACCTTATACTGAAACAGATAGCATGGATCTGGACAATCTGGTGGGTAACACAATGAGATAAACATTTATTAATTTGCTTGATGAAACATGACAGTAAGTGGTGAAATGTTATATTCTCAGACAAAATAAATGTTAAGGTAGATATGCAAGTATATGTTATTGCTTCGTGTTCTGCTATGGCAATCACCTCAATAGTAACTTGATTTGAATTGTACATGAAAACCAACCACGCAAGGTAATGGTAGCGTAGACTTGGGCCTGCATGAATTATGTAGGACATATATCCTATTGATTATTTGAAGGTTGACTTAATGCTAATAGAAAAATTGAAATTTTAGATAATTGCCTTCTTCAATCCTTATTTGAGAAAGGTGGTTCTGCAAAATATTTGAAATGCTTTTTTTAATGCTTTTTCTTTTGTAAATTATTGTTTTAATATATTCTTTGAAATATATTCTTAACTTTTGTCCAATTTTTTTTTTTATTAAAATAAAATGTTTCATTATTTTTTATTTTTTGGTATCTAAATCATTATGTGAAGATCATTTTTTGAATTTTCTTAAAGATTTTACTTATAATATTTAAAAAATAAAAATAAAAGCATTTTAGTTTTTGATTTAGTTTATTTTGAATGTAATGTTTTATTAAAAATCGGGACAAAAACCATGTGTGCTCTAATTTAAGGCCAATTGTAATATTGTATTAAATTGTGACACAAACCATGTGTGCTCTAATTTAAGGCCAATTATATATATATATATATATATATATATATATATATATATATATATATATATATATATATATATATATATATATATATATATATATATATATATATATATATATATATATGTATATATATATATATACATACACATATAAATAACTAAAAAGTCTTACCTACCCCAAAAAACTAATTTAAGGTCATGTCCTAGACATATATATATATATATATATATATATATATATATATATATATATATATATATATATATTATATATATATATATATATATATATATATATGTATATATATATATATACATACACATATAAATAACTAAAAAGTCTTACCTACCCCAAAAAACTAATTTAAGGTCATGTCCTAGACATATATATATATATATATATATATATATATATATATATATATATATATATATATATATATATATATATATATGCGGCAGTGGTGTAGTGGTAAGAGCGCTCGCTTTGTAAGCGAGAGGTTCGGAGTTCGACTCCCACCACGTCCCTGGAAGTACCGCGCTCAACTTAGTTTCTCCGCGCAGCGGCCTTGCTTGTCAAGGTTCGTGTTTCGGAGTTAAAGATTTGAGAGAGGGTTGTACCACGAAATACAACAAAAAAATAAAAAACACAAAAAAATGAGTAGCCTCCTCGACTGTAGTGGCCCCCTCGGGCCTTGGGGAGGTGAATAATGTAAAAAAAAAAAAAAAAAAAAAAATATATATATATATATATATATATATATATATATATATATATATATATATATATATATATATATATATATATATATATATATATATATATATATATATATATATATATATATATATATATATATATATATATATATATATATATATATATATATATATTAGGCCCCTGCTAAGCTTAAATATTTTGAATCAAATCAAAAAAGTGATTCAAGACTTGACTCAAAAAATCTCTATTTATTTGAATAAAATCAACCTGCTTTTATTATAAACTGCTTTTATTAATAGTTTATAATGATATTATGACAATGATGACAATGCCTTGATAAAATGCTTAGTTTCTCTATCTTATACTAAATATATCTTCACTTTTTCATTTTAATTTAATTGTATTATAGTGCCTAAAAGTTATGACCATATAAAATTAACAGCCCCCTCTATTTGATCAAACTTCACTCATTTAAATACTAAAAAAATATTATAAGGTATTTTATTAATTATTATAGTTATAAATAGTTAGAAAAGGAAAAAAACTTAAAAAATTTGAGACTCAGTTCACGAATTGAATATATTAAAATATGAATTGAATATAATAAAAACAAGATGTAAATATATTAAAAATTATATGTTAGGCCAATTTGCATGGGCCTAACATACATATGTATTGAAATATATATATATATATATATATATATATATATATATATATATATATATATATATATATATATATATATATATATATATACATATATATATATATATATATGTATATATATATATATATATATATATATATATATATATATATATATATATATATATATATATATATATATATATATATATATAATATTTATATATATATAACTTAGTAAAAACACTTATTTAATATTTGTGCTCTTCTTATTAGATAATTATAACCAATAATTAAATAATTAGATAAGTGTTTTTATTAAATTATTATTGCTCTATTCTTTAAGAACATTGAGCACTCTATTTGTAGAATACACTAATATAATTTATATATATATATATATATATATATATATATATATATATATATATATATATATATATATATATATACATGAAAGAAAATTAATCAATGAACAAAACAAACAAAACATTCTTTACTTATGACTGGGAGTGTTTGAACTATTTTTTTATAGAATATGGAAATTTGTTTTATTTTTTATTTGTTTATGGCTCTCCATTGACTACTCTTTAACCGCAATAACTACAAATACCTGTTTTACATACATACATATATTACATACATACATATATTACATACATACATACATACATATAATATGTATGTATTAATAAACACACTCTGCCTGCATGTCAAAGACAAAATTAGATATGTGTTTTTGCTAATTTATCATTACTCTGTTACAGCACTGTATTTTTAAAATACATTAACATATATATATATATATATATATATATATATATATATATATATATATATATATATATATATATATATATATATATTATATATATATATATATATATATATATATATATATATATATATATATATATATATATATATATATATATATATATATATATATATATATATATATATATGTAACTAATATCAATGTAATTATGTATTGTGACTATAGAGTAGCCTAGCAACAGCTTACAAAAAGTTAATTTTAATAAAATATCTCTTAATCTTGAAAAAAATTGAATAATAATATTAGTAAACATTCTAAGAAAGATCAATAGTTCATCTATCTGAAAAAGTAAAATTTAAAAAATTTCTACGCTCAAAATATTTTTAAAAAGGATTTGAAAACAATAAATAAAACACACTAAAGAAGCTGTTGCTGTAATTACATTTTATTCATTTTTAGAGGTTTTTTATTTAATTTAAAACATCGTATCGTGTACTAGAAGTTACTTTTATTATAATTTCCTTTCAATAAACGGCTAAATGCATATTTAATAGCTAAAAATTAGAAAAGTAGCTCGTTGTCAATGAGAATTTTTTTTATATTTGTTATCCGTAGCCTTTTTTTAAACTCTTGAAATATGCTAACTTTACTGCGCTTGCGTATAGTAACTTTCCTCTTATTTAGTAAGTCTGAACGACCGTGTTTAAGATTATTTTTGACAATTTTGAGATTGAAAACCTGCAACTATAGAATAACTATTTTTAATAAAGTTTTTTTTTGTTAATTTGAAACTATTTTCCTCTTTGCTAGTTTCTCAGAGGTAAGCAACTTGTGTTGTAAGAAAATCTGAAAGATTCTTACACTTTAGACCTTAGCATAAAAGTTTAATTTATTCTTGTCACCTATCATTGAAAGCTACTACTGCAACTCCACAACCACTAGCAGGCAAAATGAAGAAACGCATAAAATTGAAACTTAAGGAAACTTAAGATTTACTTCAAAGATTAATTAACTTCTGTTTGTCATTTGTCATTTTTTGTTTCATTTGTCATTTTTAAAATAATCTTTGGAGAATTATTTTTTTTTTTTTACTTTACTTTAACTCAAGTTAATTTAAATTAATATGATTTTTATAAATTTTTATTTTTTAGAATTAGTTTTTATTTATATCATTAGTAAATTTTACATTATGATTTTTTGAACCTTATTCCTGATAGTGTTACATCTGTTACTGACAATTTATGCGGAATAAAATAATATAAAAATGCTTTGCTTATTTTTTTGAGAATGAAATTCCCCTCATATTAAAAAATTCTCCTGAACAAAATATCAGAACAAAGAGTAGCGCTGTCTATACACTATTGAAACATATATATTATTATATATATTATTAAACATATTAACCATTTGAAATACAATATATATGTCTTCATTTTATAAAGATTTTATTACGATTTCATAAAACTTTGTTAGCTTCTATAAAGGTTGTTATAAAACTTTTCTGCGTAACTTTTTTTCTTTCTGAGTTTTAACTATTTATTCTTTTAATAATAAAGAAGTATTTATAAAAATGAAATAATAAAGAAATTATAAAAATAAAGAATCAGGTTACCGTCAATTTTTTAATTCAAGTTTGTTAAATTATTTTTAAAGCATTGAGCTATAAATTGTTAAAATGACAAAATTTTTAAATACAGCCCCAATATTTCGAACCTCCAAAGGACCAAGAAATTAGTTCGCGTTAGTGAATGTTCGAGTTATTGAGAGCATAATCCTTAAATAAAGGTTCAACGGGGTTTCAAAATTAGTTCGAATTACTGGAAGTACGAATTATCGAGGGTTCGAGGGAGTTTACTGCATAATCTAAATCAATGGTCAAACACAAAAAAACAGCAGTTATATATAAAGGGCAATATCAAATATAATATTAATAAAAATGCAAATGATTTTCATTATTCAATTAAGCATAAACTGATTTTGAGTGTGTATCAAGCTATAGATATTTAATCAGATTTACATCACATTTGTTCCGCTACCGTAAATTTAGAAGGTATAACCGTAAAGATTTAGTCTAGAATTGAAAAAATTAAAAAATTAAAACAATTACTTTTATTTCCAATGTTTCTGCTTTTGATATCTCCATGATTCAAAGGATGCTCGCACATAGGTATATCCGGCTCGCAGTCACATGTTTTGTTGTTCCACCTATAAGTAGATGGAAAACCCTGCTCATATTTGTAACTTATAAGTTAAATCTAAAATAATTCAAATTATTTCTGTTTATTAAAGACCGGTTTACTAAGGGCTGTTTTTTTGCCGAGACAATGACCCCTTATGGCAGAGGGGTCGCTTAAAAAAAAAAAGCCCTGTTGCTGGTCTTAATTTTATAAAGTTACTGATTTTAAAAAATTACTAATTTTACAAATAAAAAAACTTCCAAAATTTCAAGAATCTTGCACTTATTTTTTTAGAAATAATTTATTGCTGGAAACTTGCATTAAATGCATACAATCACAACATGTTTGAAACGCACTATGGTATTTGTTCTATTAGCCACTGTTATTTTACAACATGGCTAACTTACCGTTAGCCATCGGTCAATACGAGAACTGACCGTTAGCTATTTGTCAATACTAGAAGCATGATGCACAGTAAGGTTGAATTTTTATCAACTTTTAAATTTACCGGTAAATTGATAAAATAAAAAAATAAATATCGGTAAAATCGGTACAAAATAAAAAAATCATAGAAACTCGTATAAAAATTTTTTTTGTTTCAGAATAAAGTCTTTATAAGATTCATATCTAATATCTTTATTAATAATTTTTATATTGATAAAAAATATGAGCTTTGAGGAAACAAGTTTATTATGTAAATTGTCATTCATTAGAGATCGAATTTTATCACAAATAATCCTGCTGCAGTTGGTGGAATAGTCTCCAGTACGTTTAACAAAAGTTCAAAATTAGCAATTTTCTTTCCAGTAACTTCATAAACCAACATTTCTTATGAAATGGCTTTGAATTCGTCGTTTGAATTGTGGCACTGCTTTTTGGCTGAATGCTGAATTGCTTCCGCGAGTTCATATTTAAATGAAAGCAGATTTTCATCAAGATTTTCTGAGCACACACTTCTAGTTCAATTTAAAGTTATCTGTGTTTGATGGGAATATTCTAGACAACAAATCTTTGGCAGTCTTTTGAAGTACAGATTTCAAAGGCTTCATATAAATTTACCGACATAATAACAAATTACTTAATACCCTTATGCTTACCCTTTATATTTCATCATCAATGAAAATCAAATGTGGTGAAACGTCTTTCAATACTTTTTTGAGTGAATCTTTAACTTTGAGAAACTGTTGAAATATCGACAGTAGACTGTTCCATTTTGTTCTGCAGTCAATGAATTTTCTTTTCCGTGCTGTTTCTAGATTTCTTCTTGGAGGACGTCAGTTTTGACTGGAGATTTTCAAAACAGCTTGACAATTTTTTGGACTTTTATGATGACAGATTGCAAGTGCACTTTCACTTTTGGAATGGGAATGGTTTTATCCATGGCAGCATAAAAAAAAATGACTTCAGTGACAGATTCGGACTTGTCATTACTGAATTCATCTTTGTTGCTTGTTACTAGCAATGTGTTGTTATCGATCTTTCGGAAAGGTTTTTTTGTACAGCACTTCTTGAACTGCCAATTTAATTTCACGGGTGTAACACGTTTGATACTCAGTTGAAACCAGTTTTCCAAACTTAACCATCATGGAGCTTCCATCCGTAACTGAGCAGAAAATACTGTTGTTAATGTTTAACCCGAAATCGACCACTTTTTTTGTTACAACTGGTACAGATATATCGTTTCACGAATAAGAGATTATTACAATAATAATAAATAAATAGTTTTTTTCTTTATTAGAATATATCCCATAAAGATATATTTCATATATCTTTAATAGAAGGAGTTTTTTTTATAAAAAAAAATAAATTAAAATCTTAATTCTAGTTTGTTTTCCTAGTTTTTTGCCACAAAGTGACATCACATACAAATTGAGGCTTCGACGATTTCCGAAAAAGCCTCGTCTATCATTTTTAAAGGTCTAAAAAGCAGATGACGTAATTTTAACCATCAGAAATTATCAAGAGAAGGGCAAACCTAAAATTAAAGTTTCAAGTTTTCTAATTGGATGAGACCGTATATTGCGTGTTTTTTCAATCTTGTCAGTTTTTTTAAATTTAACAACATACATACAAAAAATCAAAACAAACCAGCTTGCGCAAACAAAACTTGTAATTAACAAAAAAGTTTACTTATATTACATACAATCCAGAATAAAACGTTATATAAGTTATTTATAGTAAATTTATTACATTTTAGAAACAATATATATATATATATATATATATATATATATTTATATATATATATATATATATATATATATATATATATATATATATATATATATATATATATATATATATATATATATATATATATATATATAAACAAATAACATATTTGTTTATATGTATTCTTTATATAGGGATGGTTAAGCGCAACAAAGTTAAAAAAAATAAGTTTTATATTAAAAAACGATTTATATAATTTTCCTTTGCAAACACCAACACACTATATTAAAATTTTTAAGTGCTGAACTGCAATTATTTTTAATTTTTTTGGTTTAGTGGATTTTGTTAAGAGCTTTTATATTTGCGTCTAATTATCTCATTTTAACATATTCGTTGTATTATTCTTACTGCAGCCGTTTTTCAAAACCCCTTTAGGTAAAAAAAATCAATTTTGACTTTTTTACAAAACAAGTTAGTTTAGATGTCTACAAACTTTATTGAAGCAAAAAAATTAATGTAGCAAAAAAAAACTTTCAATTGTCAAAAGAAAATTTAGAATTTTTTTCTAGCTACGAGCTTTTTTTTTTTTTTTTTGCCTCCACAGCAGCATCATCTGGAGTAGCAGGACTGTCTTATTAAGTTTATCTTTATTAAGTTTCAGACACCTTTTTTTTCAGACCATCCGCAGCTCATTAGGACTAATTACCTGAGCACGTTAACAATATAAGTATTTCAATCATGACACATACGCAACAATTTTTTTCTCCAGATGTTTTGATATTTTAGGAAATTTTTCTCGAATCTTTCTCGCCACTACCTCGGTTGCAATGACTGCCAAGGGTTCCGTGTCAAACACGCTCGAATGAGACTACAAACACTATTAAGTTTGGCAATAATATATAGAAAGTTTACTATCTTTGTTTTTTAGGTTTTTGTTATAGAGACAAACAAATAAACAATTTGGAGGAGTTCTGATTAATTTAAAGGAAATCAGTATACATAGCATTAGGCTGGGTGAATAAAAAAAAGCAAGTGCTTTTACTCAGTTATTAGTCAGTAATTAGTAAATAAAAATTTCAGCAATTTTGCTTAGCTTTACGTGAATAAAAATTTGTGTGAAACTGCTGAAGTTTTTATTCACGTAAAACTGACCAATTACTGAGTAAAAATAATTGCTTTTTTTAATTTACCCGGCCTATGAGGAATGATATGTGGCGATAAAGACATCATAATAAAATTTTAAACAATAAGAAAATTAATATTCTATTAGATGCGGCTAAAAACCATAACTTCTTTTAACAGCAAAACATTATTCGCAAAGGTAGCAAAGAAAAAAAAAAAAAGAGGATTTCAAATGAGTTGTTTAATTTATAGTATAGTATAGTAAAAATCATTTACCTAAAGTTACCGACATAAATTTACCGGTAATTCGGTAAAACAATTTTACCTATTTACCGTTAAATTTTTGGTAAAAGCTCAATCCTATTGCACAGAAGCAGTAAACAAGAAAATTAACAATAATTTTCTATACCAAATGTTTGTTATTGTTTTGATTTATTGTATCAGATATTAATTTAAAACGTAAGTTTAAATATTTTGTGATTAAAACGTTTAAAGTATTTAAATATTTAAATATTTTATTTAAAATTAAGTCGTTTAATAAAATAAGATAAACCCCTAACATCGACATAATTAATGAAATTAGAGATAAACCAATTTAAAAACAAAGTTGAAAAAAACTGAATTCGAAACTGTATAGAAATTTTACCTTATTTGATGACAAACTTTGAAACAAAGAAATTTCTGGTTCATAAAGTTTAAATTGAAGCAATTAAAAGTTTACGTTTTGTCAGTATGCACAGTGGGTCAGAAGCCGGCAAAACCATACAAAAAAGTTTTTAAATTTTGAAATTTTGATAAAAAGCCAATTTTGCTTAATATATAAATAAGCCAGAAATTATATTTTATTAAAAAATAATTTTTCAATAAAACGCCATATTTGTTGTTTATTTCCTTAAATACTTTTTATCAATAACAACAAAAGAGTGTGAAAATTTTATTTTTTTACATCTTTTGAAAACTTTGATTTCTTATTTTAAAGAAGTTTAAGTTTATTTTTTAACTTATAAATGACTTATATAGTATTATGTTAATATTTAAATCACATAAAAAAAAAATATTTTTTGCATTTTGTATAAATATTTTCAACAATGCAAACATCAATAATTTTGAGTTATAAGTTTTTATTTTTTTCTAAAATATCATTTAAAGCCATCGGATCAACCTGTATCAACGGCTTAAAATGATATATAATTGAATACCAATATGACATTGATCTTGTGGTATAAAAATTGGCTACCTATAGCTGCCTAAACGAATACACTTTTAAATTCAATTAACTACGTCCACGTTTCTTGTTAATGCGTTTTTGATCGATAACAAAAAATTTAAGAAGATTTAAAATTTAAAAACTGCAGTTTGACTTTATAATAATTTTTATTTAAGACATAAGTTTAAAATTAAATATTTTTGTATTTTTTAATTGCTTTCCAGTAAATTCCTCGTATTTGCTCAATGAACATTTAGATCGCATTGAAACCATTATTCCTAATTTTTTATGCTACCGTTTTAAAGTAATAAAAACTCAGAGACTGTGATAAAATATGAATTATATACTTCTACGTAGTACAAGTTTGGAACATAATATTTATTATTTATTTTATAATTTCCGAAAATAATAAAATTATATGTAATCGATAAAAAACACGATAACAACTAATGAGAAATAAAGGAAAGGAACTGAGTTTCATAGTTACTGCTCGTAAAAAAATTACTTTATTAAAAACATTTTAAATT